CAGTCACTCTAATCTCTAATCTTGCTGAAATGAAGGATGATGACTGGATTTAGTGGATGTTTAGCTTGGGAAAAGAACACACTTTAATAGCTGAAATCAATGTAACAGCTGACAGAATCACTGTATATGATGATGATCTTGATGGGAGATTCAGAGACAGACTGAAGCTGGACAATCAGACTGGATCTCTGACCATCACAAACATCACAATGAAACATGCTGGACGTTATAAACTACTGACCAACAATGTGAGAAAGAGATTCAGTCTCACTGTCTATGGTGAGTTAGGCATTTTATCAAGGATCTTATTATGGCTAAATACTTAAAATAATGAATTAGCCTATTTTTTCTAGGTTCAGTATTAACTTTCTTTAGCACATTGTTTTTTTTTCAGTCATGGTTCCTCTCAATGTTTATTCCTCATCTGCTGGAACATCTTCATTCATCCTCATTTCTCTTTATTCTCTCATGTTTTCAGCTCGTCTGCCTGTTTCTGTCATCAGCAGAAACTCTTCAGAATGTTCTTCATGTTCATTTGTGTGTTCAGCTGTGGATGTGAGAAATGTGACTCTCTCCTGGTACAAAAGGAACAGTTTTTTGACCAGCATCAGTGTGTCTGGTCTCAGCAGCGACATTTCCTTACGTCTCTGGGTGGAATATCAGGATAAAAACAGCTACAACTGTGTGCTCAACAATCCCATCAGCAACCAGACTCAACATGTCAACATCACTCAACTCTGTCTCACGTGTGATGATACGTCAATGGCAATATTCACGTTTATTCACTGAGCTGATCTCAGTTTTGTGCTCTTATTCCTCAGACTCTGAAGCTGTGATCCGATTGGTCCTCTCTGGTCTGGTGGGTGTGGCTACTGTCATTCTTCTGGTTCATGATATCAGGTCCAGAAAAGCCTAATCCCGTGTGAAGAAACATTAGGCGCAGTAGTGGCCTTTGCTATGTTTCACCCATTACACTTGAAACGGCCCTCGCAACAGAAGGAGAGTCCACTTATGCTCGAAAAAGAGCCCGCCGCGCATACACCAGGGTCGGAAATTAATGGAAGCTTAGGGCAAAAATGCCTCCAAAATGTAATATATATAAATATACAGGGGGCAAAAAATCCCTGTGAATTCTTGTTTTTAATATTTATAACAGGATAATGAGTTTGATAATGAGTTTTCCCAAATATCAGCAGGATTGCAAATGTGATAGCCGTGATTTTATACCACCTTATAGCCTTATATTTTACAGTTCAATAAACAAGAAGCTAATATTAGTTCATTTAAACCTAGAACATTGACGGGGTTTGCTCTATTTCACCATTGAAAAAAGTTCCAAACAGATCCACAGTAGAACCATTGCGCATCTCCGTGTGTAACCAGCCCTACTCGACCTGCTTTGAGTGGGATGTGAACTGGTGTCTCCGGCATATGAGGCAGACGTGCTAACAAGGAGGCTAAAGAATGCAGTTTCTAATGTCAATCGCTAACGCGCCTCTTGAGGCCAGGGGACCCCTAAACCTCACTTCCATCCGGGTCAAGGCACCAAATGTAATTGGTCCTACTCCACTCGCTCCAGGCAAGATTTGATCCAGGGTCTCCAGAATGGGAGGGGGGTGCAAAACAGTGTTAATTTTGTTGACGAATAATTTTCGTCATAATTTTCATCAACGACATTTTTTCACCAACGAAAACGAGACTATAACGAATTGAAAACTCGTTTTGAATGACAAAAACTATGACGAGAATCTATAGTTTTTATTCATTGATGAAAATGTTAGGGAGGGACGATTTAGGAAGAGAGGTAAATGCACCATTTAAGCTGGTTTGCCAACCGCCATAAAACCTCTAAAGAAGAAGATGATTTAGGAAGCGATTCATTCAGAACGAATCTGCTGTGTGGTTAGGAGGTTAGATGCGCACATTTGAACTGTAACATAGCCTATTGATCTATCCGGCGGGACACAAGCTGGCATACATTTGCTGCACGTCTCATAAAACGTTAAAACATGTTAATATCTGTGAGTAAGAGAAAAGCATACATATGGATAAATTTGACGACGCAAAAGAGAACTAAATTTGGTCCGGTTTACGAGTGCAGACACTGAAGCAGCGCCTCTCACACGAGTAGCCTACTTTCTTGCGTCTCATGAACGCACAAATGAACACAAAATTATGTTGAATTGTCAGTTTTGTCAAGTATTCATGTAAACACACTCGGTTATGTCTTAGGTGAACGTAAACAGTTGGGAGAATAATGGACGTGTATCAGTACATTGCATCTGTGTGTCCGGTTTTAAAGGGACAGCAGCCTAATTTAGTTGCTATTGTCTGTTGCACTGATGTTAATCAAGCAACAAAAGAAAGACAGAAAATCACTCACTGCCCTTGACTGAATCACTTTAGTAGCCCTAATAAAGATTAATCTAAATGTATTTATATAAATAAATATGTCTGCTTGAAAGAATGAAGAATGTTGTAAACAATTATAAAGAATGCATAATTAGCCTATATAACCATTGGTATTTCATTGAAAAGAAGACCTTTCTTTATGAGAAGTGGTTTCATTTAATTTTAACATACAGGCATGATGCATGTCACTGCAGTTAAATCTGTCTATCATGATAAAACCTTAATATCAAACCTATACAATGAGTTTGGTCATTTTAGAGAAATGCTTAATAAATGCATTACACTGTAACTAAACCCATTAGATTTTAGCCGACTAAAATCATATGCTATTTAGGCCCGGTTTCACAGACAGGGCTTAGACTAAACCAGGATTAAGTCTTAGTTCAATTAGGGAATTTAAGTAGCTTTTATCAATGGGATTTAGAAAAAAACATTACTGGTGTGCATCTTGAGGCAAAATAATAACACTGACAAATTTTAAGATATGTAAGTGCAACTGACTTTCAGTTAAAACAGCTCAAACATGCATTTTAGTCCAGGACTAGCTGAAGCCTTGTCTGTGAAACCGGGGATTAGTCAACTAAATCTAGACTAAAACTAAAACAATTCGGATGACTAAAATATGACTAAAACTAAATGGCATTTTAGTCAAAAGACTAGGACTAAGACTAAATCAAAATTTGCTGTCAAAATTAACACTGCTTGCAAGGACACTAAAGACCGCAATCTCTAGTGTGCCTTGTGAGGCCAGGTGAGTGAGGTTTTTGACTTTTTACCCAGCTGTCTAATCACAGAGAAGGAGGGGCGGGACAAATACCATAGCGACCAGCCGTCACATTCAGCTTGTACAACAATAATAACAATTGACAAGAGCATCCCTTCATCCAAAAGAAGTGTCAGAGCAAGTAAGACACTTCTTATAAAAAGAATATTTTTATATTCAGAAACAAACTATGTATGAAATCAGATAATACAGTAGTAACAGTTCCGTGGATATTCCATATCATAGCACAACTGAAAACTGCCGAAGTACTCTCAAGCGTCCAGAGCTAGGTGTTTTCAGCTAGCTAAAAACATTTTTGTGGACACACAGCCGAGGGATAAACTTGTCAGAGTTTTTGCAACACTGCGTCATACTAAAGCTAAGTTTTAAATGTCAAAATATAAGTGTAAAATATTACTTCCTGATGTAGCCTTCATATTGTATTACTAATTATTATTAAATCACTTATCTAGTCCCTATTCCGTCATTTTTATTTATTTTCTCTCAAGGCCTTTTTTCAGACTTTTGGTAAACAATCGTGTTTATTTTTGCTTGATTTTGACTTAAACTTTGTTCACTGCTTGTGTGTTTTTCTTGCTTCTGACAACCTGTTTGCTGGTCGCCTGAACTTTGCCTTTTCCTGGTTTTAAGTTTGGAAATGTAAGATCAGCGAAAGCTTCTTGGTTTTCATGAGGATAAATGCACGAGTATAAACTGTGATGGAGGTTGCAGGAGGATTGACATAAAACAAGACAAATATCACAGTCCAGTCGTGTTTCAGATCAATCTGTTTTCGGACATAATAGTGTCTTATTTAAGGGTGATTGCGGACACAGCATTGGTTGCATATTCTTGGGTCATTCACAAAAGTCAGAACTGCAGAACCACAGTGAGTTAAACATCAGTTTCACTATTTTTTTTTATTGCAACTTGTTGAGCTAAATAATTATCGTATTTAGATGCCGTTTTATCTTTAAAATGACAAAATCCGGTTTTATTTTTAACTCTCTAACAGTGACAAACTGTCAACTGTTGTTGACAACAAGTGATTGGTCCTCTCTGCTCTGGTGGGCGTGGCTACTGCCATTCTTCTGGTTTATGACATCAGATCCAGAAGTTCTGTGATCAAGCACATATTCACTCATCAGGAAAGTGTCATTTCTCATAACTATTTCAATCATTCATCAATCTTTTATTCATTTTTTTATTCATTCATCTTTTAATCATTTATTTTGAATTGCTTTACATATTCAACTGCTGGTATCGGTGTCCATTTATCCACCCTAGAAGTTGATTTGAGAACAAAAAGCAGCAAATTCTCAAATTAAATGCGAGTGTTTGTCATGATAAATACTAATTATTACACCTTCCTTTTTAAACTTTTTTTTTTAACATCTAATCTACACATTTTATTGGGGGCTTTAAACACAGTTTAAAGGGGTCATATGATGCGATTTCAAGTTTTCCTTTC